GAGTGTTTTTCTGAAGGGCACACCGCTGATTCCCGGAGGCTTCATGTACAAGATCCTCAAGTTTCATTTCTCTAAAAAGCGCTTTTATGCATCTTGCCATAAACAAAGCGCTGTTAACATTTTGAACAAACTGAAATGATCTTCTTAGATATAGAACATGAAGGACCTCGCCATGATTCTGGGAGAAGTTCACTTCTGCTGTAAAGTACTCAGACTAAGACGTACCTTCTCTGCCGTGGACGGCGACTGGGAGCTAATCGGCTCGCAAGGCAGACAGGCTACAGGAGCACTGCTCTTTCAGAGAGACGGTTCGCTGTAACCTGCTGTAAAGTTAAGAAGCAGAAGGACAGGGTCCTGGGGAGTCTTCCCATTCCTTCCAACAGTCAGAAAGAGCCACTATGGAAGACAATTTACCTTTCTGTTATGAGCTCAATTGTACATTAGATTTACCAGAGCAACAGTGCTAAAAATAAAATAAAACAAAATTCTCATCGCTCATGTCTTAGTCCACTTTATGTTGCAATAGCAGAATACCCATGTTTGGGTGATAAAGAAAGAAGTTTATTTAGGCTTACAGTGTGCGAGATGGGAAGCCCAGAGGGGTGACTATGGCTAGTGAGGGCCGAGATTCGAGGCCCTAAAACATGGTAGAAGCTAGAGTGGAAGAGGGCTTAAGCAGATGACAGGAAAGGGGCCAATGTCCCACAATTACTAGCTCACCCCACAAAGACGAGCCACTCGGACCCACCCTAGTGGCTCAAGTATCTCCCGGAGGTCCCGCCTCCCATTCCACAGCTCCACTGTGCAGAGCAGTCCCAGTCCACGGGCTTTGACAACACTCAAACCACTGCAGATTAGAATGTGGACTTTTTCAAGACGGGGTTTCTCTGTGTATCCCTGGCTGCCCTGGAGCTCACTCTGTAGACCAGGCTGGCTTCAAACTCACAGAGATCTGCCTGCCTCTGCCTCCTGAGTGCTGGGATTAAAGGCGTGCACACCACAGACTGGCTTAGAATGTGGATTTGATCATTTCTAGTCACTGTCTATTGCTATAAAGAGACACCACGACCAAGGAGACTCTTAGAAAAGAACATTTAACAGGGCTGCTTACAGTTTTAGAGGTTAGTCCATTGTCATCACAGTGGAAGCACACAGACATGGTGCTGGAGCAAGAGCTGAGAGATTTGCATCCTTTCAGAATCTCAAAGCCCACCCCAGTGACACGCCTCCCAGTCCCCAAAGCCCGCCGCAGTGACACGCCTCCCAGTCCCAAAGCCCGCCCCAGTGACACGCCTCCCAGTCCCCAAAGCCCACCCCAGTGACACACCTCCCAGTCCCCAAAGCCCACCCCAGTGTCACGCCTCCCAGTGCTTCCCAAACAGCTCCATCAGTTGTAGATTCAGCATTCACACAGATGAGCCTAGGGGTATATTCTCGTTCAAACTACCATGGCCATGTACTTGCTTCTGTGTAGAACTGGGGAAAACAAATCCTCAACAACACTAATACCCAGCTTTTAAGGGTCACTTTACCTACTAAAATTTCTATAAAATAAAATTTAAAACATAATGTGTGGGAGGAACATGATGGTTATCAGGCAAAGGTACCTGATGTCAAGCCTGGAGATCTGAGTTCAATCCCCGGGGCCCACACAGTCTCCCCAAGTTGCCCTCTCATGTCCATATGTGTGCCACAGGTAGATTACATACAAAAGCTAAAATATAGTAAACCATGTTTCAGATCCAGTTTCATGAGACACTGGGTAGTTTAAAGTTTCAACAGTCATTTGGTTCTCAGTGAAGACAGGATAGATGATCCTCTGAGAACCGAGAGAGATGGCCAATAAGTATGTTGATTACAAATGGCTCCTGGTTATGGTTTGACAAGAAACACGTCTGCACAGAACATTTGGAGAATGCATCTCATGACATGCATCAACGCAAACCCATGGTCACCAAGTCACTTGGAGCAGAATGAGACCACAGACACTTGCCAGACAGCCCTTGGCACGAGGTCCAAACAGAACATAAGACTGGTTAACATGCCATTCGGACACGAAGGAGAACGCAAACAAGGAGACAGCAGAGTAAGACGAGACCAACCCCAGCACTGCGAAAAACCACAAGCAATGCCACTCACTCGCCATGTCAGAGTGACAAACAGTAAAAGCACACCCCTAACGCTCACTGGTGCACTGCGGGTGCAGAGACAGGCAGCCAGAAGCCTGTTAGATACAGATGGAATATCAGAACTGGACTGTCTGCTCTGTCCAAGGGGCACACACAGGAGGATCAGAAATTTGAGGTTAGTAGAGCTCCACAGCAAGTCCAAGGACAGCCTCAAAAAAAATTCTACTCAACGTGTACTTTTGAAAAAAACAAGTTCTGGAAATAAAAACAAAAGCCAGTCTAGCTGCACACTGACAACACCTCTCTGCCCACCGTAGGTGGTGCCATCCCTGGGCTGGTGGTCCTGAGTTCTAGAAGAAAGCAGGCTGAGCAAACCGTGAACAAGCCAGGAAGCAGCACCTCCACGGCCTCTGCATCAGCTCTGCCCCCAGGGTCCTGCCCTGACCTCCTCCACTGATGAACAGTAATGTGTGAATGTAAACAGACCCTTTCCTCCCCAACTTTTGGTTGTGCAATGCTCAACTTTTCCTCTTCTTCTTTTGGAATTTACTATATAGACCAGGCTGCCCTGGAACTCACAAAGTCCACCTTCTTCTGCCTCCAGAATGCTGGGGTGAATGATTTGTACCACCATTCCCAGCCTGTAATGTAGCTCTTTTATTTTAATTAGATGTAAAGAAGAAAAACTGAAAAGATTCAATATTATCAGTAGTTGGGAGAATGCTAAATAAACTGAAATCCGATTTCTACATAGTTTAGCAAAGACATCACCCAGAATACAAATACACAATGGTTCGCAAAGAGCTTCAAGGTGTTCTGATGAATAAAAAAAAAAATCAATTTTCAAAAAACATGAAGAGATAGTCTAAATACTAAAAAAAGAGATCACTACGAGGCAAAGCTACACCACTTCAGAACACACACGTCTCCCTGAGGATATGGATGTAGCTGACGCTGTCACAGCTCTTCAGGATGGTCATACCCCAAAACTCCAAGTGCAGAGAACTTTGTGGCTTCACTGTTAGGACTTAAGGTAGAGATAACACACTCTAATGCTTGCTCAGATCAAAGCTTCTAACATGCAGTCCACTGAATCCTGTTCTTAAAATGTTTGGGGGGAAACTACAGTGAGTTCACTTCCAAGTCTAGATGTAATCATTGTCAAAATGAGGGGGTTCTGTGCAGGCTCGCTGAGTTCCTGCTTCTCTAGGGCGCGGAGATTCATCTGAATGGAAGAAATGGGGCCAGTTCAACTGCTATTAAAGAGCCAGACACGGCAGCAGGTGTGTGTCTGAGGCCAGCCTGCAGTACAGGAGAGCCTCTGGTTCATGCAAACAGCTATGCATGCAACTCGGTGCCAGAGCGTGAGCCTGGCACACCGTGGTCCCAGCACAGAAGAGTGAACGCAATGGCAGAAGCTCAAGGACCTGGAAGGACAGCAGCAGGCCACTCTTGTCCTGTCTCCTGCTGCCAACAAACACCATGGCCAAAGCACCTCGAGAAGGAAAGGGTTACTTTCATCTCCTCAAGCAGGGGAGCCAGGGCAGGAGCTCAGGCAGGAGCTAGGAGCAGAAACCACAGTGAGATGCTACACATCGCTTGCTTAGCTACCTTTCTTATACCACCCAGGCCATCTGCTGGGGATGGCCCTGCTCATGGTGGGCTGAGACCTCCTACATCAGTTAGCCGTCAAGAGATGCCCACAGATACAGCCGCGGGCTAGTATGAGAGAGGCAAGTGCTCAATTGAGAGTCCCCCTTCCAGGCGACTCCAAGATAAGGCACACTGACAGATGAAGCTGACTTTGAAATCTCTGAGAACACCAGGCTTGAATCTCCATTCAGCTCCATGGCTGTTGGGAGAAACTTCAGAATTAAAGCCATTTAGGAAGAGAGGACGGAGCACTCGGTCTGAAGGGTCTAAAGATTGTGGGTTCGCAGCTTCAAAATGCAGAAAGAAAAGGAGTGCAGGCTTGGTGCACCCTGGGTGGTCATGACTGGGTACCATGAGTCACACACTGTGCCCTGCAGAATCAAATCCCTAAGAAATCGAGGCTTGTCTGCAGAGCTCCTAACAGGCCAAAAGCTCCCCACAGCTTGAAGTCACATCGGCTACATCAGATGGTAGCAAAAACACCAGCAAATCCAACCAAGATGCAATGGCCCCTTCAGTGCAGAGCAGGGCACCCTGACATTTAAAACCAAGTAGTCCGGGCATGCCTGCAGGCAGGATTGGTGCCAGTTTGACGCCAGCCTGGGTAACACAGTGAATTAGAGGCCAGCCTCCCCTGCAAAGTGAGACCTTGTCTCAAAAAAACAAAAACCACCAATACACACAGAAAAATGCTGTTGTCTATTGAGGGCTTTTTGTTTGTTTTTGTTTTTAACCTTTAAAGAGTTTATCTTTTGGGTTGTATATGTATGTAAGAAATGTGCATGTGTGCACTTGTGTGTGTGCCAGTGTGCTCATACCACATATGCCACACCTGTACTACGCCACACGTATCATTCAGAAGACAGCCTCAGCTTGTCCCGGCCTCTGCTGCCTTGCTTAGGAGCAGGGTCTCTTTGCTGTCTTTCCAGGTGGACACAGAGCTAGCCAGCCTGCCGGCTTCCAGGGACTTCTCCTGGCCCTAGGAGCGCCAGCACTACAGACACTCGAGCCTCCCAGGATCCTAACTCAGGTCCTCTGAGCCTTCACCCCAAGCCCCAGCTTCATCATTTTGAAGCATCACCCATTCCGCCATTCCGTGCGGTACAAACTCAAGGGGTTAAAGCACATCAGTTCGGGCCAAGATAGCGTCAGCGATGACAGCAAAATGCGGGGACCTGGGGAGTGCCCCTTGGCAGCTGCGATGCTGGCCTTTCGTACCTGGTGAAAGCCGGGTTGTGTTCTGTCATGGCAACGAGCAGCTTCAGAGCGTAGGCCGGAACTGGGTCAGGCTCCACGAGGATGTGCTCATACCTAGGAATAAAACCACCAGAAATGGCTCGGTCTTCCTCCCTCATATGCCCTAAGTGTCAGAAAAGGACAGGTTGTAACATGCCAGCGTCTGGGGCAAGCACATACAGGGTGAGCACACGGCCTGCATAGGTAGGCCAGGCGAGCTTTGTGGTGGTGACGGCCCCTCTGTAAGACACAGCAGAGTCAGCATCTAGCGGTGCAGGCAGCAGGAGACCAGTGAGCAGGAGGCATTTGTGCTGGTGTCTCTAAGCCACCCCACATTTGAGTTCCCTGGTGGACATGAGGCCAGCGCTGTGCCCATGGCTAAGACAGAGCTCAGTCGCAAGGGGAAAGATGAAGTGATGAAAGGTTCCCACATTTAAATTCCCTTGTGTGGACAAGGAGAGACACAGGAGAGTTCGCTAGTCACTGTAACACTGGACGCTCTCGTGCCTAACCCACGCCTCTCTCTCCCTGTACCTCCTGGGCAAGGGCTCCCACCTGGGGCTACACACTGTCCCAGAAGGCTTGTGCCGGAGAGAAACAAAGAAACTTCCAGAAGTCTCCTGAGCCACAGGAATAGGAGTTAGAAAGTGCAAGTCACGGTTACTGCTGGACAGCACTACCACAACAGCCACCCGAACCTACAGGGCTGCCACTGGCGGGAATCCACCCAAACACCAGTTCTCCAAGCGTCTAACCCACGAGGAGGAATACAGTCCTCCCCTGGATCCTGAAGAATGGAGCCCTGATGATTTACGAAGTCATTATAGCCCTGATGATTTTACAGGTCACAAGAGAATTATTTTTAAAGATGAAAAGGAAAGAAAGGCTGTGCTTATGTTTCCCAGGAGAGGGACGCCGGGTGCCATTCCTTCATAACGACATTGCAAACACATTTTATCAGCATGATTCCTCTGATGTTGAACACTGCTATAAAAATAAATATATAAGTAAGCTACAAAGTTCGAATTGTTGCAGGTGACCGAAGTCAGGCCAAGACTCTCCCTAGGCCTGCTCAGTCCCTTCAACACTTACCCTGACTGTGAGGTCAAAGACAGAAACACTCTGTCATTCCCTACGCCTTTCCACAGCAGCACGGGGCATCTTCCCTACAGTCTCATGAGTAACTGAAGTTGCAAAGGAACAGCACTTACTGGTTGAGCAGCTCGTCCCTGAAGAGCGCCAGAAGATTGCTGTCAGGATCACAGCCGGCATCGGCATCACTGTCCTCCGGCTCCTGGCTCACCAGCAGCGCCGTGGTCTCAGAGAGCAGCCGCAAGCTGAAGAGTCTCCACTCCACTGGATGAAGGAAAGAAAGCCCAGAACGTGAGTAAGAACGGAACCCGTGCTTATCGTGGTGGTTCACACTTGCAAGGCGGGATGGTGGTGAGTACCAGGTCACCCCAGGTCCCCAGCAGCACCCAGTTAGCTCTAAAAAGCAAAACTAAGAAATGTGTCCTGGATTCTGGGGACCACAGTCTCACTCACCATTCTGGCTTTGAACCAAGGAGACCAAGGGTGGCAGAATATAATCAATGACCTGGAAAAAAGGACAGGAAGTCGTAGCTCAGAACTCTGTACAGAAAATGGCTGTTGGGCACCAGCCCCAATCTGTGTCACCGTCAAAGGAGGGAGAGGAAGGCCAAAGGCAGGTCATCTGGGCTAACAGTGTGAGGCTGCAGTTCCTCACAGGGACCTGGAGTGGAGGCTGCTGGTCACATGAACTGCAGTCAGGAAACAGATGAACGCTGGTCCTCAGCTTGCTTTCTCATTTTTGCTCAGTTGAGGACACAGCCTAAGGAATGTGCTGCCTACACATGGGTCCTTCTATCTCAGCAACCTCATCTAGATGTTCCCTCATGGATACCCAGAGGCCCATCTGCAGAGATTCTAGGTCCTGTCAAGTCGCATATTGAGCATCATGCTCCCCTTCAACTATGTGAGAAGCAAGGGCCCTGGCTGGAGATTGTCTGCAGTCCTGGGAACTGAGGGTGTGTGCTGCTGTATAAAATACATTCAAACAATCCCCTGTGGAGAAGGAAGGCCAAGAACTAGGCAGCAAATATGAAGATCACAGTCCCCAAAAGGAAAAAGCTTACACAGGTAGCAGACACATAAAATTACTCAGCCCCAGAGATGTCAGATACTTAGAATTTGAAAGAGATAACACTTTAACCCTGCTGGTTTAAACCCAAACAAAGCAGAGTCGGGGCCTACAAGTCTGTGCAAAGATGAGACGCAGAAACTACAAACAATTAACGAGAACTTCACATGGAAAGTTAGCAAGTCAGTCCCACACCACCACCCACTCCCTGAAGACTCAGCAATTCCACTCCTCTGTGACTGATTACACAAGTGGACACGGAATGGGGAAATCTCACACAGGACAGAGCCCATATATATATGTGAAGGATGTTCAACAAGCAATCTTGTTGTCTCTAGACAATACTGGTTGAGGGATGTGTGCAGCTGACACATCCTAGTGTAAACACACGTGACTCCTGTGTCAACACCATCAGCTACCCTGTTTGCACAAACACGAAGTAAATGAAGTCTCATCAGCATGCCTATCAAAACACATCAGTTACTCAGTGCCAAACTGATCATTTACAGTATGCGCCCACACAAATATAAACAATGAAGGGCCCGTAAGCTAGGGCTTCTGGGAAGGGCTCTGTATCAGACCTGACCACTTGGTGCTGCTTCTGTCACTGTCTACGAGTGTCACAGATGTGCAGGCAGAGCCTGCAGGTGGGAAGACCAAGTGTGTCATCTGAAAATGTCCAAGACAGAATCAAAACAGCCACCTAGAGATACCACTTAGAAGAAACCAGACACAGGTGGGAATCTAAATTCAGAAGTCAGGCTGGCCTTTCTAGTCTGTCCCCTAGGGCTCACGTTTTCACCCCTCCCCCACTCCCCAGAGGCTGGAGGAGCTCCAGAGGGTCCAAGGGCACAGAGGCCAGAGCGGGCGCACGACAGCGTGAGCCCAGCACCAGGGCAAGCGAGTCCTTTCAAACGTGTTATCAACTGATATTTCAATATGAATGGTTTTCCTTAAAACTGCAAGCACTTTAGCTTGTATATTTAAAGCAACACTCTGAAAATGAAATCTTCATGTCTCACAGCCGGCCCAAGGTTCCCACAGCATGAGGTTAATTACATCCCCTTAAATGCAGGCAGAACTCTCTCTGAAACAACACAGGCATCAATGTCCAGTCCAGGAACACCACTCTGCAGGGTTGGCCGGACTCTTGGCCCTGTCCCACACAGGGATATGAGGGCGGAGCAACAAAGAGTAGAGCTTCTAATTCAGTCACATGTTTGGGGAAAGGACTGGTTCCACCAGTCTGAGGGTCTAACAAAGGATTATTGACACAAATATGTCTCCAAGAGGTGACATTCCGACCTGAGTGGTTCAAATGCTAATCCACCACTCACCCCTGAGGTGTTTCTGTGATGTAGGAATTCCCGCCCACTTGGGCGTGGCCTCTTATATATAAATGCTGATGTAAAGCACAAGTCTGGCCTCTCTTCTAGCTGCAGGATTCAGTTGCTGTTCCCCATTTGAGCAGAGGACTGTGATCTGTGAGTTTACCCCTAAATAAATAACCCTCTGTTATTCTCAATTCTGAGCTAGTATGGTGTGCCAGCGTGGGGCTGACTAAATCCTGAGAGCTTAGACAAAAAAAAAAAAAAAAAAAAAAACAAAAACAGAAAAACAGAGTTAAGCATGGCTTTTTGGTAGCAGTATTTTCTCAGGTGGGCTCTGTTCTCTGTTTTCTAGAGACAAGCACGTCTCATTTAAGAGAGGGTTCCTGACTCAGCTTTAGCTGCAAAAACTTTGCAGCCCTTTTAAGAGTCTCTGCCACAAAGCATTTAAATAGTGTTGATGAAAAGCTGATCGCATGCTTCTTGATGGTGGCAGGGACCTTGAAATGCCATAGAGTTGTGGCAATAAACATGGCTCCAGCCAGTACCTCTGTCATGAGGCTGGACTCTCAGAAAGCTAAAGAATGAGCTGGAACCAGCTGTCAGAGCCATGGCTTTAATCCTAGCCCATATTGCTTAGAAAATTAAAGACTCACGTAGTCAAAAAAGAAATACAATATAGATTCGGATGAAGACAACTTCTAAATGGTTTACAATGTGTTTAAAAATATATGTAGGCTTGGGATAGAAAAGAAAAAGAATAAAGTCCTTAAAATAAAAAAGAAACAGAGTTGTTTGGTGTGGTGGCACACACCTTTAATCCCAACGCTTGGGAGGCAGAGGCAGGTGGATCTCTGTGAGTTCAAGGACAACCTGGTTTACAGAGTAAATTCCAGGACAGCCAAAGATTAATAGAGAAACCCTGTCTCAAAAAGGCCAAAAATTTTTAAAAAAAAAAGGAAATAGAGTTTAAATAAAGAAATAAAGCCACATAAAGATGAAAAATACACAGAGAGTCTGGATACTGTGTGTTATTGTGTTGCCTTTGAATTGTTTGATGGCTGAGGAAGGAACAACAGCTGCTAAAAGATATTTGATTATAAATGCAGATGGATTAATCCTATATATATATATATATTTAAAATTTCTTGACTTCAAAATTTAAGTCAAAATGTATGTTACTTTGGAGAAGAGGTTTTGCTTTTTGTTTCCACGGGAAATGAGAGGCTGTGGATTCACTCTGGACTAAGAAAAATTAGGTGTGATCAAGGAAGACCACCTGAGAAATCTCCAATAGGAGCAGATGGCCCAGATGATCCAACATTTCAGAGGACCTCTGTCGCAGTTTCCTCTGAGTTCTGCATCCAGAACAGTTTCAAGACTGCTGGCTGAGATGATCAAGCCTCACAGAATTTTCCAATTAGGACTTGACCATAATTCAAAATTTTCTTTAAGACCCCATAAGATTATCAGCACCCCCAATCAGCAGGAAGTAGCCTGGAAAACTACACCCATATTCCCAAAAAAAATGAATTATGGATGTTTGCCTTTGTTTAGAGTGTTGGCTACAAGTTGCTATGGATAATGGTCAGGGGAAAAGCTAAACAAAGGATATTAGATTCAGAGTTGTTTTTTTTTAAGGGTGGAGAAAGTGATGTGGGACAATGGTCTCTTATCCTGTCACTTTTATTATTTTTAATCAACACTGATTGGCCAGTAGTCAGGAAGGAAGTATAGGTGGGGCAATGAGAATTCTGGGAAGAGGGAAGTTTCAGTCTGCAGTCGTCACCCAGACACAGAGCAAGCAAGATGTGACGGCCTCGCTGAAAAAGGTACCAAGACACATGGCTAACACAGACAAGAATTATGGGCTGATATAAGTTATAAGAATTAATAAGAAGCCTGAGCTACTGGGCCAATCAATTTATAATTAATGTAGACTTCAGTGTATTTCTTTGGGACTGAACGGCTGCAGGACAGACACAGAAATCGGTCAACATCTCTGAGCACAGCATGCCTCACCTGTACCTTGCCTTTCCTAGGGAGAGAACAGAACCAGCTCGTACACATCCATGCCTCCATGATTACATCCGGAAACAGCCACCTCAAGTGCCTCTAAATGCCCCTGTGGGCATTTCATCCCCACTGCTCAGGCCTGTTACTCCACTCCCTGGCAAGGTCACCCTGGGAGAGGAGCCTGCTCAACTCTAACCCAGGCTAAGCAGAGCCAAACACACCCTCTGACTCCAGTAGACTTCCCATTCCTTCCAACACTTAACTCCCCTTGCACACTCGGTTTAAAGAATGCATTCTTTCGCAACCAGGCACAAACTAGCAGACTGCCTAGGGCTGCCACACCCTGTGGGTCCCCTATCCACACTGCATCCTGCAAACCTTGGCCTGCTCTCTGTTTTTTTTAGTAGTGCACACGCACACGCACACACATGCACCATCCTACCACAAGCCCAGACTGGCTCAGTCCAGAAGGTGGCAAGCCTCAGCTCACTGCATTCTCCACCCTGCTTTTAAAGAGCTAGTTCACACACACACACACACACACACACACACACACACACACACACAAAATACTACAAATGAAAGAAACTCTGAATTGTCTCAGGTTGCTGAGGCCAGAGAGGAGGGGTAAGAGAGAAGTGATGTTACATTAAACCTTTGCCTAAAGTCTCACCAGCGTCAGCCAGGAAGTCACCACATTTCATTCAGGAACGAACCTCTAGACTGCCGGCAGACATTATCAGAGGCAAGAACACTTTCCCTCCTAGACCAAGGTCCTAGCACAAAGCTGTCCTAGCTTTGCACACTTGACAGATTTAAAGTAACAAGTGATCTCCCTTCCTGGAAGCTTGCAGAAACACTCGCACATGAGGCCAGTAGGACCACTGCCCTCTGGTGTCCAGTAGGGACCCAATGCTGTTTTGGGCTAGCTCACACTCACTTTCTTCTCTTTTATACAGGCCAAGATACAGATCCAAGGAACCATGGTGGGTTGCCTGTCCCAAGAGTTAGCGTTATCAAGACAATCCCTACAGACGTGTCCATGGGACAACCTGATCTAGACAGCTCCCTGTGGCGATCCTTCCCTTCTAAGGTGTCAAGTTGGCAATCACGATGGACCTGGCGTTGCCTTGTTCTAAGTGATGCCTCCTTGGTCAGGCCCCCACTCAGCGTAAGGTGACCCACAAGATGTTTGTCCTGGCTGGAGCTGAGCCCAGTGACCTCACTGGAGCTCAATGGCTTAGACACCCCACAGCAGCACTTGGGCTGGCTCTGGGCTCAGCAAGAGTTAAATGCAGTTAGCTGTGCAAGCAGGTTATTGATCAGGAGCCTTGAACACGGATGTGCTGAAATCTAAAACTATCAGAGGCTCCCTGGGGTGTGGGTCTTTTTTTCCTCACACATTCCAGTCATGCCCAAGAGGAGATAATTAGAAGATTTCCCAGGAGCTGCGGCATTAGAGGGCATTTTTTATAAAGTGGTAACTTATGACAACGCCTTTTCTATCATAATTGAGGCTGTAGTGGCAATAATTAACACACTCGTGTTTTATGATTAGAAAACACACTAATTAAATTTCTATTTAAATGCAATACAGATATTTATAAACACTGGATCTGAGCAAATTAGCCATGGGGTTATTGTTCATTAAGCAACAGGATCCATAAGTGACATCTCAATCAAAGGCCTGGGACTCACTGGTAAAGCACCATGACCAGTTCTTTCCTGTTATGCTAGGTGTACACGGGAACGTGGACCAACTCTATCATGAAAACTGCGGTAAGATACAGAGAACCCGAATCCTAACATTATTAAAGCCTGAACGATAGGAGGGGAGCTTTGGGAGGTGCTCCCGAATGGGAGCCTGCAACAGGAAGGATGGGCTGTGACGGGGGCTCACACACAAGCCAACAGGATTCCCGGGACAGCCCAGCATGGGTCTGTGCCAAGGCGGGGATCTGACTCTAGGGAGCACCAAGCCTTGGCCACACATCACTCCCAGAACACAGAGAAGCATGCCCTCAGAGAAGCCAGTGGTTCTCAATGGAGGTCAGCAGGCTCCTCACAGAATCTGAGGAGGGAGGCCTGCACACAGAAGGCTTTGAGAGGGAAGAAGGACAAGCACAGTGCCAACAAGGCAGTCTCTCAGACACAGGACGGCTGAGCCAGGAGCACAATGTGACCGACACCGCAGAGAAAGGCCATCTTCTGATGCTGGCATTAGCAGCCGCATGGAACAGCTGTAAACAAACATATCGCCGAGTGGAACCCGTCTGCAGGGATCAGGGAACTGAAACAGCAGTGGAGATGTCCAGAGAATGTTTACTCTGTAGGAAAATATCCACAAGATGTCTTCCTACTACAAAAAAAACAACCCACGTCAGCAGCTGCTTCTGCAGGAGCTGGGGCACAGCAGGGGCTGAGGCACAGCAGGAGCCAGGAGAGCTGAAACCCCCACACTACAGAGGAGGGCACACCCCCAGTGTCTGCAAAGCCTCTCCCACAGGAATGAGCTTCTGGCCTCAAGGGAAAGGGGGTGGGAGGCCAAGGAACAGTCAGAGAAATTTACCCCTCCCCAACCAACAAAACTGGAACCAGCTTTCCACGGCTCCCCCCTGCTTTTATGAAGTTTCTCCAGGCATGGACACCTGTCAACCCGGCACGCGTACACACGAAGATTATCAAACAAAGGCCAAGGGCTTTCTAGAAACTGACCGTAGAGCGGTAGTCGGCCAGCAGAACGGGGTACTGTATCACTGCTTCAAAGGCGGACAAGGTGATCTTGATGAACTCCTCCGAAGCCGCCATCCCTAGGATCACAGAGAGATCGTTACATGGGCGCCCACACGTGCATGCCCTTCATAGCTCACACGCAACAAACGCGTCTGCTCACCTATGGCTCCGTCTATGTTCGTTTCTCCCGAGTCAACTGACTTAATGTGATTCTGAAAAAGAAGAAGCGTCTGATAAATGGGGGTCAGATACCTCAGAAATGAAACTTGGGCAGCTAACATTTTGCCTGAAACCACATGTCTGATTCTTAGACTCATGGGGAAAACATTTAAATACATATATTACAAACACTGTAACCGGTTTAAATGTGCTTATATAAATAATATACACAGTCTATTCATATACTATTCACATATATGGAAAGGTGGCTCAATGGTTAAGAGTTCAACTCCTAGCATCCAAACAGGACGGCTCCCAGCTGAACTCCAGCTCCAGGAGGTCTGACACCTTTGCCCGTCCGGATCCCACAGGGGCCTGCAGTCAATGTGCACACCCCACACATGGATATACACATACACTTAATTTAAAAGAAACATTTTAAGGTTTTATGTGTGTGAATGCTTTGCTCATAAATATGTGGACCATATCCATGCAGGACATGGATGGATTCAGGGATTAGGGACTCTGGGATTAGATCCCCTGGAACTAGAGTTAAAGACAGTTGGAAGCCACTGCAGGGTGCTAGAAACTAGATCCACGTCTTCTGCAAGAGCAACCAGTGCCCTTACCTACTGAGTCATCTCTCTCCAGCCCCCTAAAATAATTCTTCAAAATTATATCATGTGCAAATTACAACTATGATTTTTAAATATGCAAATGAGATTTAATGTCATAATAATTCAGTGGTAACAAAAAAACTTACAAAAGTGAGAATGGCCACCGGTGGAAGGCTGAGGCAAGGGCAGCCTTGAGCTTTAGGCTACACAGCAACACATAGTAAGTTCAAGGCCAGCCTTACCAACAATGAATGACATCTACCACGGTGACAGCAGTCACCCCACAGGAAGGTCCTGGTGCTGCACGGGGTGTCAAGGTGAGGACCTGAGTTCAAGTCATCCAAAAGTACGATAAATAGCAAATAAAATATTCAGTGACCATAAGACTAAAACGTAACTAGCCAAAAGCTTGGTCTACTGTGACATGATTTAATTAAATGTGGTAGCCCACGCCTGTATCCCTGCAATCAAGAAGTTGAGGCAGGAGGATCAATGTGGGTCCAAGGTCTGCCTGGACAGTTTAGTGAATTCAGGGCTGACTGGGTTGCATAGCAAGACTCTGTCCCCACATGAACTAAGAAACAATCGCTAAATAAAAAGGTAATATAGATGTATGCACTGCACAGGAGACTATGTGCACAGAGCTATGGAGAACAAGGACCCTCTCCATCTACTAGGGAGTTGACGGAGCCCCAAGATTCAGTTCCTCACATGACCTTCCCACCCCCACAAGGGAACCGCGGCCCAGAAACTCCCGCTTCCTGGATACTTGTCAATATTCCTACACATGCATCTCTGAACATTCTGATGAAATCTTTCAGCTATATCTTTAACTTTTATTTTTATGTGGAAGGTGTTTTGCCTGCATGTATTTCTGTGTGCCACACGCACACCTGAGATGAGGAACAGGATCCAGAGGCTGGAGTCACAGAATCTGTGAGCTGCATGTGGGCACTGGGACCTTGAATCCCAGGTCCTCCAGGAAAGCAGCCTGTGTCCCTAACCACTGGGCCATCTCATCAGCACCCACGATTTATCTTTTGCTAAAATCTTATCAAACTATACATTCGGTACCAATGAGGCAATAGCTGGCCACAAAAGGAAGCCTGGGACGCTCCGGCTCCTCTCTTCTGCCTCAGTCGAAGCGGCAGAAACAGAAAGGTGAAGGGGTCAGGTATAAACAAAACTCAAGAATCCAGGAAACCAAAGTTCTTTAAAAGGTAAAAATTCAAAACCTCACTTCTCTCCAGAGCATAAGCGAGCAAAGATGCCTAAAGGTCACTGTGTAGGGTGTGACAGAAACTCTTTATAATAACTTGGTTGAAATCGTTTCACACATTTCCAAAATGAGACACAATTTTCAATGAATATTAATTTGATGACAAACTAAAGGTTCAGAAAGAAATGTTTATTTTTTTAAAAAAAAGAGGAGACGCTGAGGTGAGAAGGTCAAGGAGCTTCTCCCCAAGCCAGACATCCTGAGCTCACTCCCAGGGACAGAAGCAGAGCAGGGCTCCTGCAAGCCATCTGCACATGTGATGTGGCCCATGCCCACAACCCAGTCAATATAAAATCCTTTTATGAGAAAGAGACTGGGCAGGCACATGCAGTGTGACCCACCTTCGCGGTCCATAGCGTGACAACCAAAATAAGCTGCTTTACATCATTTTTTTTAAACATTTTTAACTTTTAAAAAACATCAACTATCTGTGCTGAGTATGGCAAGCACAGGGTCATGTGTGCACACTGATGTTTTGTGGACAACGGTTCTGAAGACTGCACGGGGTCATGTGTGCACACTGATGTTTTGTGGACAACGGTTCTGAAGAC